AATAAGTGACTTAGTTATATCTTGTAATGTTTTTCTGCAGCATTGGTTACAATCACTTGTATTCTGTTGGTGCTTAATAAATGTGAAGTGGCTCACTGACCCAACTCCTTTTCCAATTAAGAACTTAGACTCATGTGGCCAGTGTTTGAATTGTACTACCTTCTTCCATCTTCCAATTATTATGGTAATAATATTGAAAAATAGTTTTTTTTATTGTAGTGGTGTTTAAGAGGAAATCACTAATGTAATTTAGATCATTTCTATATATGAGTATCTATGTATTCTCTCCTTCTCTTGCTGTATGTATATAATATATATGGACATATTATATGTATGTTTTGTATATATATATATACATATAAAATTGAAATTTCTTTTTATGAAATTGAATTTAGAATCACTGTGAATTAGTGGAAAAGGTAGGAAAACTTATATGTTTTTAATGATATTCTTCCCCCCCCACAATTATTCTAGAAGAAATTATTTTGCTAATATAATGCCATAAAGGTTGGCATTTTCCCCAAAATTAATTTATGAATTGAATGTAATTTGAATAAAATGAAAAAAATTGTATCTGTGTGTATGTATATATGAGAACATGAAAAACTGATGTTAAGATTTATGCACTTTGTGTATGTTAACTGCACTTTATAACAAAAAATACAGACTTTTATTTTAGGCAGCTTATTGTAACAGAAAGAAGCAGAAAAGCACTGGCAGTGTTAAGGTGTCACATTATCTTCCCACCGGATGTTTATCAGCCTTTTGGTCAGAGGCGCTACCGTCCTAGTTATTGTGGAGCCATGACGTGTAATATCACTGTGGCGCTGCATCTGGCCAGTATGTTGGCCTATCATGATTGACAGCCTTAACTAATTTTTATCTTACACAGCTAATTTGATTTCATCATTACAGCCACAAATACAATATGGAACCCATGATGATTCAATTACCTCTTTCCATTGCTAATGTTAACTATTTAGCTAGAGACGCAAGTTAAATCCACTCCTTAAAGGGTCCAAAACCTGCAGCAATCAACCCTTAAAGCATGAATTTCATCATACAATGGGATTTGCCTATCATTACAGATATCTCATCATTTTTACCTGAAACATAAAATATAAGGTTTTTGTTTTCCATAAGAAAAGAGGAGGCTAAAGAAAAAAATAGTCTTATAGCAGAAACTGTAAGTTAGGTGCTAACTGGAAAGCTTGAGATTTTGTTATCCTGTTAGGTCATCTCTCCTGGGCAGTACATCATTTTCAATTACAGTCAAACTCAGCAGTAGTCAATTATATCTCATCAACTAGCTGTAGCAACTTGGAAGAAGTTAGTACACATCTTTACACTCATAAGTAATTTTGATGAGTAATTTCTTGAACAGTGTGAATAATAGGGTTTATTGAAAAAATCATTAATAGGCTAAATTACAAGGGAATGCAAAATCTTTAATATTGAGGCAATATTTAGGTAAAATCTACTTACAGGAAATTTGGTTTAGATAAATGCCAGTTACTGAAATATGAAAATCAAGAATGAGAAAGAATAATGATAATAAAAAAGAGGAGAATGAAGAAAGACAGTATAAGCAGTTAAATTAGAGAAAGTTAAGGAGTAAAGTCAAATGAGACATAGTGAAGTTAGATAAAGTCCTGCCTTTATGTAGTGATCAAGTGAAGGATTACCCTCTGCAGCAATGTGCAAGTTTCTCTGTTTGCTATGTTGCCACACCCTAATGGTGACAGTTGTCTATATATCTGTAATGACAAAGAGCGCATGTGAGCTGACTAGCTTGTCATGCAGCCTACAGTAAAGTGAAAATATCCTTCTGGGTTACTGTGAGAGACAAGGGGTCAGAAAGGTGCGCAAAACCACTGCTAATATGACATAGAAGGTGCTTTATAATTTTGTAGCATGGTAAATCAGAAATAATAAATTTCCATTTCATGAAACAAAAGGAAAAAAGATTTGTTTTATAAAATGCCATTTGTCAATATTGGCATTGGTATGTCAAAAAAGAAAAGCTATTCTAGGGAAGAATATATTGCAATAGGAAACAAAGAAAACAAGTCTAGACTGCAATTACAATAAATGGAAGAATGTTTTCTGTAAATTTAGGTAGAATGTATATTTTTTAATATCCTAAGTAGATAAAAAATTTGGAAAGCATCACTGTATTATTTACATCTATTTACAAGGAGATGTGATGATGTAATGTAATAGTCATAATAAAATGGCAACCTATAGTGAGAACTCAAATATTGACTAGTTTAAACATTCTATCATCCTGTCCTCATATAAACCCATGTGAGTTTACTTCTGTTGCTAAGACTATTTCCCATTTGAGTTAACTGAAGTGTAGGGAAACTGTATGACTTGAAATAGCCATAGAGCTCTTAAGCAACAAATCTAAACTTTAGGTTTCAAGTTCTTAATCTCTATATGTTATTTATTTGCATGTGACCCATTATCCTACCTGTCCATAAAAATATTAATTGTGATGACAAAGACATAATTTTTTAACTTGATTTCCTAAGTATGCTTTATATTTACAAATAATAACAAAGTGACTATGTATAAGTAATGTCTAAATTAATTAGAATGAAGTTTTCAGATTCTTTATATTTTCAACATTTAATGAACTTAAAATAAAATTCGATTATAAAATAAAAAAGCTCCAGCATCAACATTCTTTTGCTTCATCAGGAAGCATCCTTATCAATGACAAATTTTCAGAAATATTTAGTGTATGTAATATAGTGTGTTTCATCAGCTCTTACCAATATTGTGTTTATCCTGTTTTTTGGCTTTTACTAAACAGTGTTTATTTAGTTCTATACTGTTAATTAGGTGGGGAAAATATGTCACCATGAACAAAGGCAGGATAGAACACTTCGATCATTATTTTATTGTTTTCTTGGCACTTGAACCAAGTCAAGGGAACCTTTAGTCACTTTTTTTCCCCTTCTCCTTAAAGTAACACCCAGCATTTCACTATATTTCTAAAACTAAAATCCAAATCTTCAAGGCCATTGAATAAGTTTATATTTTAGTTTTTTTAAATATGTAAGATAAATTTACACTTCGTAATACTGAGCAAACTTTGATGTCTCATGAGATCTCTGCACTAGAACTGAGGTCTTTGCTGGAGCCAGCAACTTCCTTCCTTGACTTCTAGTCCCCAGCTCTCAAGGCAAACAGCCCATCAGACCCCTTCATTTGTCTTGGACCATTTAGTTTTGCCCTCACTTGATTCTCATTGAGCATTGCACTTGTCCAGCAGAGAAATGAACCCATCACCTTAAAGTCAGCTGGGTCATTATTATTCATTATATCACTTCATCACGTAAGCCTCTCAGCCCTCAACTACATAAGTAATCATTGTATACTCATAAAAACCATAGCACATGCATAGAAGCCTGAGAGGGGAGAAGAGATTCTGAATGTGAAAATAGCAAGATTTTTTTTCCATATTGCTCCTCATTCAAACATCGACTTACAAGATATTTTCTTATACCTATTTTGTACAAAATAGTAAATTAATAAATTAGAGACATAAGCATAAGTTTTTAAATGGTCCCTTTTTCAGTGAACTTATACAAATAGATATAAGATATTTAGAATGAAATTAGATTAACTGAGATCTTACTGGACCACTAAGTGGGACAAAGTCAATTCCAACTGATGTCATTCAGAAGGTAATATTTATATTGACCTTTGGAGAAAAATAAAAATATTGATAGGTGATAAGAGAAGTACCTAAGAGATAAAAAATAGTAAAGCATAAAGGAATTACAAATAAAAAGGCATGTAGGTGGCAAATAGCTTTCCACATACATGGAGCAGCAAGTACTCCAATGTTTGAAATCCATGATGACTTGAGAGGTTAAATGAAATGTGTCTGAAAAGATAACATGGTACAAGATCATAGAGGTCCTTGAAATAGAAAAGAAAGATTTTAGAAATCATTATATAAAGAATGGGAGCCATTGGTTTTCATTTATCAAAGAAATGACATGATACTCTCTTGTCTCACTTTTTAAAATTCACATCAACTGTTTTCTTTCTTTACCACACCCTCCCACCAGAGTCCTTCCAACCCCCCACCACCAGTTTTATTTGGTAAAGTTCATATGCTCATTTGATTCACCTCTTGTGGAAGGTGTTTCACCTCTTCTATTAAGCTTTGCAGTACTAATTGTTCTCAGAATATTATACATGTCTGCTGTATTCCCTGTTTGTACTCAGACTATTTTTTATGAGTTTTGAATAATAATCATTTTTTATCTACTTTTACCACTTGACTTGATTTCAGAGGGAATTTATCATTGGTCTTTGTACCCTCAATATGTTTCTAGAATGTTGCTTTCTGGTTGCTTAAACAATGTTAGTTGACTTACTGATCAGAACTATGTCTTGGTAAGAAAAACTCATCCTCAGTGAAGAAGGCACGGTAAATAGAAAACAGAATAAAATTAAGGTAATAACTAGTTGCTCACTGTAATGGGAGACTCTGTGGGGATGCAATTAACAGATGAAGAGGAAAATGAAGAGAAAGCTGATTATGGGGCAGAAATAGAAGAACTATTTGAGGATAACTTCAAATAATTTGGATAAAAGTTGTATGTTATACACGGTTTGATTTTGCTAAGGAAAGATAGGAGTTGTCTTTGATGGGTTGTATTTGATTCTTCTCTTGAAGCACCCAATTTTTTCAAATATCTAGAAGGCTTAATTGTGGTCCTTAAAACAGAATGTGGGCAACTATTTCTTTTATCTAAAATTCTAAATATTATTCTTAAGCAAGTTTGAGCTATAATACTATGAGTACATAACAGTGATAAAAATATCAACAGAGATGAATATGTTCCCTAGAAAGAAGCAATATTTAATATTTCCACTAATCTTATGATTGAAGTGTTCAAAAATTCAAGTTCTTTTAAATCTTACTCAGCTGATTCAAAATTAATTATGTTTTTTTCTCTCTTGCTTTTCTACAGTATGCTGTTTGGCTAGTCTTCTGGGTTACCTGGAATGTGTTTGTTATCTGCTTCTATTTGGAGGCTGGGGACCTCTCAAAGGTAATTTGCTCTCTGATTTTCCTGAGTCCTCAGTAGTGTGTTAATAAGCCTTTTCCTAAGTAAGGCAGAATCTCACCCTGTTCTTGTTACTTAAATGCACTTTGAAAGAAGGTAAATTGAAAGGTGTCTTGGTCTATATCTCTGTATTTCTATCATCAAAAAATGCTTTAGTGTGTCACAATAATGTATGTTCATTTTTAAACAAAACAAATGTGAAATACTGATTATTATAGTGACCTTGCCGTAGACTTCTAAAACATTGACTGATGGGAGATTTCTGAAGCAGAATAGAAAATATTTAGAGATAAAATTTTGAAATTTAAGTTACTTACTTTGCTTATTACTCTTCTAAAGATTTCCCTGATTGGGTCCAAATAGCCATGCAGTAACTCAAACAATTAATGGGTTTTGATTGGGTAAAATTGTTATGAAGGGCATATGATTTATCATTTAAATAAAGAAACAGTTACTGTAAAATAACAGGAGACTTACCGTACTTCCTTTTCCATGTTTTCTGCTGTCCTTATATAAGAGTGTGTGTGCTTGTTTCTGAGCATGTGTGTTGCTGTTCTATTTCCTCCAGAATGACTTTACTATTGCAATAATGCGCTCTTTAGATCTTTAAAACCAGCATCCTTTTTGTTTTCAGCTTTATAGCAAATAAACATTTCTTTTTTTATTGTTGTTTAAGTACAGTTTTCTGTTGCCTCCCACCTCTCCCCTTGGCCCAGTCCTCCCCACCCGCCTCCCCACCCACCTCCCCTGTTTCTACTCCCGCCTTGTTATTGTCCATGTGTCCTTTATAATTGTTCCTGTAAGCCCTTCACCCTTTTCCCCCATTATCCCCTCCCCTCTCCCCTCTGGTCACTGTCAGCCTGTTCTCAATTCAATGTCTTTGGAATGCAGTTAACACCAGGTGAATCAAATGAGATATTCCATTCAAAGTAGTAGTGCATCTTGCTTGAGACACTTGAGAGGGTTGCAGATGTGTATTTCTTCATATTAATTTTAAAAGATTGTTAAATGTTCTTTTACCTATCTTTTATTAGAGCAGGAAGACCCTGCAAAGGTGGTGATATTTTTTTAAAACCCAGAGGTAGCCTGCTGTAAAAAGGGAACAAAAGTGATCTGTAAAGTCACCAGGAATTGTTTTTACGGGGTTGTATATTTTAGGGGGTGGGTGATGGAAGTAGTAGTAATACACAGCAATAATCTAGCATACAGGAGTTTTACAAAGTGCTCTGAGCATTTTCAAGGATGCTTATCCAACCTGGTAGAGGCATTTCTGTGACTCTTGTAGTGCATTATCCTCCACACTCAGCTCAGCAGGCAGTCCCTTCCCAAGGTGCTGTGACCCATGAAAATGAATTGTTCCGGTGGCTCTAGGAAGGACATAGACAGGACTGCTGCTGTGTCCGTGCGAGAAACACAATACACACTTTCCAAGGACTTGAATTCCTTACCCAATTTATAGATCTCCACTGCTCTATAATCCACTTTATTCAAAGAAATTCTACACTACAGTGGCTTTTAATGATATTTTTAATTTTAAATAATCACCTTAAAAACTGGAAGGCTTTTATACAGGCATATTGGCTGAGTAAAATGATCTAGCAGATCAGTTTGTTTAATATAAAAGGAGAGAAAAGTAAGGAGAGAGAGATTTGAGCTAAGCAGCCTGCACAAATGTTCAGTAATTGTGTTCCCTGCGCCACGTGATAGCTGCAGGCACAAACAAAGCCTGTGATCTCATGACCTTGGACATGGGCACTGAAACCATAGCGAGGGTGCATCCTAAAACATTACACTTTAAGACAGCTGCAACCCAAATGACTAAAAATTCTTCTAATGCACACAAGGCAGGTAATGACTATCCCTTGGAAAGGCAGCAGTTAATAATATTTCTCTTTCTTTTCATCTCATAAACCAATGGTAGGCTCTGCAGAGCACATGAAAATTTAATATTTTTAAACAAATAATCTAAAAAAACCCCATAAAGGGCAAAGTTATACTAGTTATCTGTATCAGGTTTTTCCTTCCTCTTCTACTCAAAGGGTTTGAGAAAGGCGTATTTATACCATTTAATTCTTCAGCTTCTGCAACTGCATCACATTCTTCAGGTAACACAGTGACAGGAGGATGCAACGGAGATTGAAAAATGAACAGGTGCATGAAAACTCAAAATTGGACTCCCGAAACTGCTGATAATACTTAGATTACTGAATATAAATGTTTTTTCTCAACACACTAAAAAATAACATAGTTTGACCATATAAATGGGTCAGTTTGAGGCTGAGGGACAAGTAGAGGAAATTGAACCAGGTAGGAGAATCTATAGTCATATATATGTGCAAGAAATGTTTGTTTTCATAAAATTTTTGTAAACCATTGTTCCTTCGTAATGAATATTGGCAAGACTAATAAGGCAATCTTGATTTACCTGTTGCAAGGGTGTCCAACTTTTTGGCGTCTCTGGGCTACACTGAAAAGAGACGAGCTGTCTTGAGCCACACGTGGAATATACAAACACTAATGAAAACCCCCAAATCACAGTGTTTTAAGTAAATGAACAATTTTGTGTTGGGCCATGTTCATGGCCATCCTGGGCTGCATGTGGTCCTCAGGCCGTGGGTTGGACGCCCCTGCTTAGAGTTTAGAATGTTGTGTCGTTGTTTTCTACAGTGTCTTTTCTGGTTTTGTTTTGCTTTGCTTTGCTAAACTATTTACCATGTACTAATGAGCAAAACAGAGATTAGAGTCATTAACCAACACAGTGTGTACATTCAGTAATGAAATGGCTTAATTACAATGATATGATACACAGGAGTGACCTGTTTGATCTTCAGTTTTGTTTGTGCCCATAGCTATGTAGTTAACATATGTTCTTCACTGAAAAATCTGTGTAAATCAAACATTATTAAAATATCAATAACTATAGTTTATATTTTATTCTATAATGTTTAATTATTATCCTCATAATATTTTAGGAAAAATAGAACTAACTCACCAGAGAAATTGCTTTAAAATTTTTCTCAGTTAAATTAATGGAAATGTAGTATAAAACAGTGATAGAACAGATGATAGCAACAAATATATAATGGTATGATAAATTTTTCACATTTTTTCTATTAATAGCTTAGATATTGGTGATACAAGTAAATATCCTACTGCATCATATAATGTGTTACATTTTTGGTTGATATTTTAATAGATCTCCTATTAAGGGGACAGTTGGCATTAGTTTGTAACTCAAAGTATCCGCTAACTTTGTAGGCAGTTGCCTCTGAGCATTCAAAGTCTATTGAATTAATAGTTTTGAGAATTCTTCATGTAAATACTTTTATTGTTCTGTTGTGTTGTTTTGGACACTCGTGACTGATTCTGTTGCTCGCTTGTCAAGTAGAAAGAAACGGGAACTAATGCCAGCTATCAACTGAACTGAGTTACTTTGCAGAGTGATCTGTTGTTTGTTCTGTGGTAAATTTTAGCCTCAAAGTGCATAGCAGTTAGAAAGGAAACACATATGAAGTGCTAATTCACCCATTAGGCTCATCACCTGGGACATGGAATTTATTAAATAATTTTTGAGTAGCAATACATAGGAAAAATGTAGTGGTCTTTGGTATCTGTAAAAACGTGTCTTGTATTGGATGTAAATTGGAAATTACTCTTAGGCTGAAATTAGATTCTAACACTTTATGTGATGATTTTGAGAACTCATATTCTACTTTCGTAATTTATGGGGCACCATTAGTGAATGATGCACCTGTCTTTAGAAAGGAAACAATAAATTTACAGATCATGAAGGAGTAACCAAGGAATTATTTTACATTCAAAACAGCCAATTATTTTTTAACCCCTTGAAACTAAGTACGCAGGTATGTATTCCTCTGGCTTGATTGTATTGTTGGAAACTTACCTAGTTAAACATAGCCTAAGCAACTAATTATACGTAGTGATTAGTATGTTTCATAATAAGCACATTTAATAGCTACTTCTAGACAACTGCCATGTCTGAATAATATGAATAGTTGTTTCTGTGGTCTAGATATAAATATTTATTTTAAAAATTGACATGTAACACAGTCATGTAAGAATGTGGCTTATTTAAACTTTGGGGACTAAAATTTCTGTCCTGCAAATAGAAGACAGGAAGAGGACAAAGCCTGTCTTTCGCTGAGTGACAGGGAAACCATCCCGAAACCCAGGGGTGAGTGCTGTGTGGAGCCGTGTTGCGCTACAACAGTCCCTGCTTTGTTCACTCTATTTAACCACCTTACTCATTTAAAGAGGTTTCTCATTTTTGGATATTTTCTGTTCGATGAAATCAATATTGGTATAAAATTTTGTTTTTATGATTTCATGTGAAAAAGGGAGCAAAATCTTTTATTATTTTTTAAAAGACTCAAATTAGTACTTTAAGAAGTAAAAAAAAATCTATGCAAACAAAAAATATGAAATAATTCCTCTGATGATTTAAGACTAAATTAAACAAATATCAAGAGAACAATTTTTTGAATTCTCTGTCTACATTATTTTACTTGAACATGCTATCCGCTGTCATCATTTAAACTATGACTTCTACCAATGTCCCCCGGATTTCTATCTTCAGCCCTGACCTTGTTGCTAAGTTCAAGCCCCGCATCTCCAACTTCCTGTGGGTGTCATGTCCATTTCATTGTCATCTTAAATTCAACATGTACAGGATGAATTTGTCATCATCCCCAAAGAATCCAACTTCCTTAATTCAGTTCTTACTCAGAGAAAAAGGCAAACTTTATTTTGAAAAATGAATAAAGAGGAAAAAGAATCATGTTACAGAAGGGAGAAGAGCTACAGAAACCTTTATAGATTGATGTAGGTGAAGCAACAAATAGATTCTTAAAAATACAGTGTTTGTATGTGTATAATAAACTTCAGATGCCAAAAAGGCAAAAACAGTAGAGATCTGCTGAAGTCCAATGATACTCTGGGAAGGAAGTGCCCCAAATAGATGAGCT